CACACCCCGTGACAACTGCACCCAGCCTAGTAATGACTTAGCCATCACTGGAAGCCCCTCAGTCTCCCCTGTGGGAATGAGGGGGTGCCACAGGCCTCAACCCCACCCCTCCTCTCTCCTCCTTCTTCCATCCCATTTCCTTCCCCTTTCCCCTCTCCCCCTCCCTCCCAACTGCTCTGCAACAACATCCTGGAATGTAAAAAATAATATTAATAAAATTTCATTTCTCTCCTCCTTCTTCCATCCCATTTCCTTCCCCTTTCCCCTCTCCCCCTCCCTCCCAACTGCTCTGCAACAACATCCTGGAATGTAAAAAATAATATTAATAAAATTTCATTTTCATTTTTAAAAATTTGCTAATTTTATGTTATATGAATTTCACCTCAATAAAACATTAATTTAAAAAAGAAAACTATGAGAAAATCTTAATTCCTTATAAATTGAGAAATGCCCTTTTAAATAACTCCTGGATAGGTGAAAAAATTACAACTGAAATTGCAGATTATTCAGAAATTAATAAAAAGGTGAGTACATTAAATAGAAATCTGTGTGATAAGGCTAAAGCCCTAGGCTGAAGATAAAGTCTAAACTAAATCCTCAACCTAAAAAAGAAAGACAATGACAAACTTGACCAAAGGAAATTAGGAAGAGAACACATAATGAAACCATAAAGAGGTTCTTTCAAAGTACCAATAAACATAGTTATACCCTGGGAAAACTTATTAATGGAAAGAGAAAAAATAAAAATATTTATTAGGAATGAAAAAGGACTTTAACCTTGTACATAGATACTTTAAAATTAGTAGAATAGATTCTTTAAAAGTGAGATTGCCGGAGCAAATGCATAGTTTAAATCTTAACAGATTTTTTGCTAGGCTGCTTTCCCAAAAGGTTGCCTATCCAACAGTTTAATCAGTAATAAAACTGCCTGTTTTCTTGTACCCTGGATGCTATCAAATAAAACCAAAAAGTTATCAACATAATGATGTATGAGATGTCATTATTCATTGTTTGTTTCCATTTTCCCTAAAGGTTAAGTAGTATTTCATGTTTATTGGTGATTTCTATTTCTTTTTCTGTGAATTCCTTTTTTTCAAATCCTTTCCTCTATTTTTTATTAGTGATATTAACTCTGTCTCTATGTGTTCCAAATAATTTTTTTTTTTACTTTTTGATTTTTATGATGTCTTTTGCTGTAAAAGAGTTTTTAAATTTTTGTTTATTCAAATCTGTCACTTTTTCTTCTATGGCTTCTAGATTTTCTGTCTTACTTAAAAAAAAAATCTCTCTACCAAGGTTAGCAAATATTCTTACACATTTTCTTTAAATATGTTTATTATTTTATTTTTAAAATTTAAAACTTTATTTCTTCTAGAATTTGTTTTTCTACATTGTGTAAGCGAGGGGTCTAAAGCTGTTTATTTCCCCCCAGCTAGCAGGAAGTCGTACCAGCACTGCTTTTTACTGTTTTTCTATGATGTTGATTCCAATATTAATTGTGGTAGTCAAATGCTGAAAAGAAGCTGAACGTCCATCAAAAGGGAAGTAATCAAGAAAATATGACACATGATAGGACATCCATACCATAAACAATTATTTAGCTGTCAGGAAGACTGAAATGTCTCTATATATTACCATGGAGGGATGTCCATGTTGGGTTAAATGGAAAGAGCAAGTTGAAGAGTAATATAAATAATATGATCCCATTCATAAAACATAGATGAAGAATTCCCTACGTATGAATATCTGTAAATTTGTTTGTGTTTGCATAGCCCACCTTGGAGTTAGGACCAGGTTGGGGAGAGGATGAAATTGTTGACTTATGTTTCATACTTCATACTCTTCGGTTGATGCAGGGAACATCATTGATTTTGTTTTCAAAGGTGTGGCTGAGATTGACATGCCTAGCCAACATCCGTTCCCCTTGTTATCCTTAGTAACAAAACCCCAATTTTTAGCTGAGCCCATTTCCACATAGAATAAAAGCCTCCATTTCCCAGCGGTTTTTTGTGGCCAGATATGGCTATGTAATCAAGTTCTGACCTGCGGGATACAGTAGGTGTGTTTGTTATCCTTAGTAACAAAACCCCAATTTTTAGCTGAGCCCATTTCCACATAGAATAAAAGCCTCCATTTCCCAGCGTTTTTTTGTGGCCAGATATGGCTATGTAATCAAGTTCTGACCTGCGGGATACAGTAGGTGTGTTGGGCAGCACTTCAGAAAAGGCTCCTCAAAATGGAGAAAGTGAATTCTTTTTCCTTCTTTCCTGCTTCCTGGAATATGGATGCAATGGCTAGAGCACAAGCAGCTATTTTAGAACATGAGGTTACCTGCAGGACGTTAAGAGCAGGAGGCAGGAGACTGGATTCCTCATGACTCCGTTGAGCCACTATAATGACTAAACCATGAGCTTTTGGACTTGCTTTATGTGAAGGAGAAATAACTTCTATCTTGATTCAGCTGTGGTTATTTTGTGGTTTTGTGTTATAATGGACAAACTTCATTCTCAATGATGTGAAAGGGAAAATCCAGCAAAGCATTTAATAACAGAAAAAAAAAAAGTCCAACCCTTCCTGAGAGTACAGCTGAGGAGTCTGTAACCTCCTAGATGAATGTGTAAGATCGAAAATAGGGGTTATGTGTTCCCAAAACAATAACAGTCCTGAGAAAATTACACATGTCTACTTATCCTAATTTTAAAATTTACCTTAACCATCTGATATACTGTACAATCATTTATCCTAGAATTTGTCCATACTTCCAATTCCTCCAATAATGTTTTGTCTTTTTATGACCAAGTCCTTTATCACCAAAAAGTTCCTCAGGTCATAAAATACTTTATCCATGGGTTGCAATTATTTCCTGACACATGTTCACTTCAGTAAACTGATCAGTGTATTAAAAACCCAATGGGGTTTCTGCAGAAGTCAAAGATGGCATGGAACCTCTTTTGTGGCATGTGTGAAATCTGCCCATAACTATAAACATTCTTCTGCAATATGACACTCCACCCTATGTGCCTTTCATATGTGGTGTTCAGTGTGCTGGGAATGCTGGGGGGGAAAAATGATTCTTTTTTAGGAACTTTCCAAATAGAGTCATAATGTAAAGCCAGTAGGGGCCTGAAAGGTCATTTTTAAAGCTCCTTATTTTACACAAGAGGAAACTGAGGACTAGAAAGGTCACCTGACTTTCTTAGAGTAACTCAGCTGGTTAATAATAGGTCTAGAAAGAGAACCAAAGGGTCTGACTTCAAATTCTAGACTCTTTAACTTGTTTCATTTATTAATTGGCATTCTCATAGCAGACTCAGGAGGGCTACTTTTTTTTTCTTTCAAGCTACATCTAACTTTGTATTACAGAATGTGCTGTTTTCTGGCTGACATTAATTTAGTCTCGAAGAGCAAAGGAATATTTTTAAAAAGCAAAACAATGTGCTCAGTAGTAGGATGTGATGTCCACTGTCTTGACCGGCCTTTCTCACCCCTCCCCCGCCACATAGCTAAAGCATGATGCTCTGAGCTCTAAGTTGAGTTTCCATCCTTATATGAAAAGTTAGCTTGGCACAGAGTTTGGTAGAGCTAAGTCTGACCAGCTGCGCTCTTGGCCACAAGGGAAATTAAACGAGACAGTGTGGCTGGTTTAGTACAAATCAATCAAAGTCTCTTGAAAATTATCTCGAAACCACACACCAATAAAGGCACGCGGGTGGTTGTCTTTTTATATAAACTAATTTTAGTCTTAATCTCTGAGGTGCCATGCATGTGAACTAAGAAAGTAAGGAGTCTTTTTTAGTCTGACCACTTGGTAGTTTATATTTCTCCATCAGTTCCATGAAAGCTTTGGGAGAAAGTGACCAAATCGGATACATCCTACCAATATCTTAAGGTAGATTTGCGTGCCCGTTTGCAGTCTTGAATCAAAACAATGGCTCCTGGTCTATCTGACTTTCCCCGTATATTTTTAAGTGTACAGTTCAGTGGTTTTTAATATATTTATAAAGTTGTACAGCCATCACACTATCTTACTGCAGAACATTTGCATCATCACCAAAAGAAACCCTGTGTCCATTAGCAGTCACCTCCCCTGCCCCTTGGCAACCACTAATAACCACTTTCTGACTCTGGATTTTCCTCTTCTGGACATTTCATATAAGTGGGATTGTACAATATGTGGTGTATTATTTTATAGTCTATTTTTTGCTATTTGGCTTCTTTTACTTAGCATAATTTTCTCAGGCTTCATCCATGTTGTAGCATGTGTTATTGTTTCATTCTTTTATCTGCCCTGAAGTTTTTTAAAAGGATGTTTCTTGAAAAAAGGCCAATGCTAAGTAGCCCTTAATAGAAACCTTTGACATTCTTCAAGGAAAAAATGAGACAAGATATTCAACTTAAAAATTTGGCTTGACATATTAATATACACATATCCAAAAAAAGAACAGTTAAAAAACCCACTAATTAAGAACTGATTAAAATGAAAAAACTAATTGGAGCATAAAATTATCATTTGAATACAGAGATTTTTCTTTCTAATCTTAATGAAACATAAGGTATAGTTCAGATTGGCATACTGTGATTTTAATTTAATTTAATTTTTTATCATCCAGCAAACTTTTTGCACTCCTGAGTTGGCACATGCATCTGTCAGAGAGAGAAGAGCAAGGAGCATGAGGCTGCAGCTGAATTTAGAAAGTTAGAGGTGTTCTCATCAGCCACATGAGACGGACAGGCGATTCCTTCCAGTAGGCGAGAGAGCAGAGTGCAGACGACAGATGTGAGAAAGGTCCATATAGCTGTCAAGTTCCAGCATCCTTGTGCTGTAGAAGGGAGGTGCCAACGTGATTGATGTTCAGAGACAGTATAAAAGCACTGGATTTCTCCCCAACTGCTTGTCACCCTGACCTGCACCATCTCTAGACTGCTTGTGGGGTTTCTGTCAACAATTACTGGAGGGGAGAAAACTCTTTGGAGAATAATATTTTATTGTGGCCATGCCAGAACCCACTAAGAAAGAGGGTAAGTCTCATCCATAAATCTTTTTGTTGTGCTTTTTAATAAAGTGTGTTTATTTTAGGATTCATTTTAAAACAAATATCCAACTTCTTAAATAGACTATAAAATAATAGAATCACTGTGATTTAAGGAAAAGATCCTTTAGAGTAAAAAGACGAGGAAAAGTATAGCAAGCGTATGATGAATTGAAAAATATCTGAATGTGATAATGTATGAAGGCATATTGACTAACATTCTCAAATGATAGTTTTATCATCCAATTGCGAGAGATCCATAAAGTGTAATTTAAGGATGTTAATTGCTCATAGTGACCTAAGCATATTTTCTTAGATTTGATCACAAATTTGTCACCATGTATTTGCAGTTTGTAGGGGATGGGGCTTGGAAAGCTTTCTTAAGTGGTTAATAAACGTGATCAAGATTTTGAAAAAGGATTTGGGACACTATTTTCAGATTTGCTATATTTTTTTCACAGGAAGACATTTAAAGTACACAGATGAAGGTTGTTTTGTGTTTTTTTGGTGCTTTTGGAGTTCATTATTAAATTCTTGCATGGAAAGAAAATCAAAGACCTGTGTAAAAGAGAATATCTCTGAATATCACTGATTGATTGTGCTCTTTCATGAGTTTTATTGTAGATAATTTAATAATATTTAGTCTTTTAAAAGTAATTAAACCCAAAATATGGAAGTATTCTTCATGAGAAATGTTTGCTCTAATAAAGTTTCTCCTATACAAAAAGGTATGATCAGTAATTTAAAAACTACTAATTAATAACATAAGTAAATTGGAACTAGTAATTACAAAAATAACCAATAAAAACAAATTAATAGCACAAGTACAATGAGTTTAATTTTTAATGAAAAATAATTTTTAAATATTATTTCATTCACATTAGTCTTAATTAGGCTCCCTGAATTGTTATTTTTCACTTCTGCAAATAAAAGAAAAAAAAAGATTAGCAAGGTGCATAAAAATGGTATTTAGTTGTTTCATTTTTAATTCCTAAAAATGTTTAGGAAAAACCATTGTTTTGCAGAATCTAAAAAGAGCTGCTACACATTGAACCCAAAGTTGAAATACTAACCAAATTATCGAAAGTCTTTTAAATATATTTTTTTCTGTAATTAAGTAACCAGTGTTGACAGGCTGTGGTGATCAGCTTACAGGTTGGCCTTACTTAGTGGCGGAGGGCATTGATGGGTGAAGTCTTCCACCCGAAATAACCACACCAAATGCATGCATTAATATGGGAACTTAATCCTGACTGTCAGGCAGTGAATACAACCCCTGCTAAAGTGTCTTATTTGTAATGCAAATGATTTACATGTGTATTAAGTGTCCTTTTTATTTGATCTGTCACTTGACTAGTCTCTTCAAGGCTTACTTGGATGAAATGCATTCTATGTTTCCCAACTGAGGAGAGAATATCATTTTAATTATCCTGAACTTAGTGCATGAATTTGCATTTTTGTTTAAAGCCCAGTTGAAAATGACAAGAAAGCTGAAAAACTAATAAATAAGATGACAGGCTGTAGAGCAGAGCCTATAAAGCTAGTTGAATTATTCTGATTGCCAGATGCAATGGAATTTTACTTTTTGTTTGACAACTCAATTGGATTCATTCTACCTTTAGAGAAAATGAAATTTTAGAGCTACAAAGAGGAAAATATATTTTTAACTTCAGCTCCCCCAATATATATATTTTTCTTTTTTAATAAATCAGCATAAATACTAAAGTCTCCATGATCTTCTTTGGCTATAAAAACACTGTTCATCTTCTGGGCAGGAGTCTCCCCACCCAGGGCAGTAATTTTACAGCCTTAGATTCTTTAGTTGGTTTAAATTTGGATTGTGGGGAGCAGGGGCAAAAAGAGGGTTAATGATATATTTAAAATCCATTGAGGAAGTACAGAGATTTTTTTGTTTCCTTACCAGCAGATCTGATCCTTGAAGGAACTATACAACTTGAAGAGTTTTCCTTAGTGAAATGATTGCATTTTTTTATTGTTTACATCAGAAGAGTTAGGAATATGGCAATTCATGAACATTCTGGTCCTTGCACCTTCTCCTAACTGTGATTTCATTTTCACTGGGGTTGGCTTTATTCCATATAAGCATCCCTCTGAAAGACAGCCCCAAGGATAAAACATGCCATGGAACCAATTCTTCAGAGTCATTCCAACCCATCTGCAGAAACCTCTCAAAGAAGGTTTTCTCCTCCAGCATCTACGGGTCTGTCTTTTTAACTTTCTTCCCTAGTTGGGCAAGCCATGCTGGGGAAGGACATGACCACTTGGTGTGAATCTTGATAGGATGTGTGGGCTGGTTTGGCCCTCCTGGGATCCAGGATGATCTGGCAGCTCTTCCAAAGAGGCTGAGTTTTTAGCACCTGACAATGCAAAGGATGTCTCACTCAGCTGCCTCCCAACCTACAGTGGCCTAATTCTGGGAGTTTCGTGTGGGGTCTTGGGAGAGCTTGTCCTTCCAAGGAGGAGAAAGAAGAACAGGTGTAACTTCGCATCTCCAGAAGGAAATCTAAGGGGAACAATTAGTCAGCAGTTCTTATTTAGACCCTTGAAAATACTCTGGGTGGCTCAGTAACCCCTTTTGGAGAAAGAAAGCATTATTTTTGAGGAGTAACCACTTCTCATTGTCCTACTCTGCACCGCAATTAGTCAGCAGTTCTTATTTAGACCCTTGAAAATACTCTGGGTGGCTCAGTAACCCTTTTTGGAGAAAGAAAGCATTATTTTTGAGGAGTAACCACTTCTCATTGTCCTACTCTGCACCTTCACCTGTTGCACGTGTATGATTTGGAAACTGTTGGAAGGCACTTCAAAAGGCTCATGGAAAAATGGAATTAAAAGATAATATGAATCTTTCCCTGAACTTTTTGGAGATTGTATTATCTGTACTGTCAATTTTGTGTGAAAGGCCTATCACAATTTGCATTCATGCAGAACCTGAGGCCTAGTAGAATTAAGATATTCTAACCAAATAGTGAAAGAGGATGCCAAAGGAACGTTCAGATTTGTGGGAATCTCCTAGAATGCCCTGCTGTTACATTCATTTAAGTATCAACTATTAATTGAGCACTTACTATGTGCTAGTTGCTGGGATTTTAGAGATGTATAGAACATGGTCTCTGTCATAAAGCCCTCACAGTTAATTATCCCTGGATTCTACTATGTAAAGAAATCATCTGTCACTGGAAATTTCTCTTTTCCAGTCAAAAAACATTTTATCAACATAAAATTAGAAAATTACAACAGCCTGTCTTCTGTGGTAGAATTTCTATGGTTTAAAAATACTATGAATTGGGCCGGCCCGGTGGCGCACTGCTATAGTGCGCTGCTTGGGAAGTGCGGCGGTGCTCCCGCCGAGGGTTCGGATCCCACGTGCAGACCGGCTGCTCACAGGCTGAGCGAGGAGCGATCCCATTGCCAGTCCCGGTCCGGTGCGGGTGCGACACTGAGGGTTGCGATCCGTTGCCAGAATATATCTTTTTTTTCTTTCCCTTTTTGTCTTTTTTCGTGACTGGTAACGGGATCGCAACCCTCGGTGTTGTGCCTGTACCGCGACCGGCAACGGGATCGCAACCCTCTGTGTTGCACCCGCACCGCGCTCAACCAGTGAGCGGACCGGTCTCTATATGGGATCCGAACCCTCAGCGGGAGCGCCACTGTGCTCCCAAGCACCGCACTCTACCAAGTGCGCCACCGGGCCGGCCCGATAGAATATATCTTTACCTCAAATTGAGTGGAAAGTTAATAATTTATAGGGAATAAGAGAGAAGAACAGAGGAAGACACATTTTATCAAGGTCAATGATTTTCCTCCTGACTTTAAATGGTTCATTCAGGCCAAGCTGAAGATTTGGATGGGGAATAAAGAAGTTGTATGAATGGACGCCACAATATTTTTCCCCCTGAAAAAAATCTGCCATGCTGTACTGGAGATTCATGGCGTGGATTTGAGCTGTCTGTTGTAAGAAGGAATACTCTAGGGCAAACGCACACTAGAGGGGCTTAATACTTGGCAGAATTATTCTTTTTCAGTAGCCTGCTTTTATGACTGTTCGTACTGCACCTGTTAGGAAGATAAATAAAGGACTGGCCAATTCTTCCCTCTCAAGCGCCCTAAATATATCGCTTTAAAAAAACTTTGGAAAAACAAGTTGTATCCTTGCTTCTCATCCAGTAAGTCTAAAGAAGTGTCCCTCTTGTTCCCAGGCCTTTCAAACAGCAGTAGTCAGGAGTAAGGGAGTTCGTGAAATGATCAAAGGCAGAGGTGAGGCTCACTAGCTGGTCTCAGGGACCCAAGAGAAAGGAAAAAACAGAGCACTTACAATCCTTTATTCTCTCTCTCTTTATTCTCTCTTTCTTTTGGCCACGAGACATGGCCTTGAAACATTTTCTTTTAGGCTTCTCATGCACACACAATTCATACGGTTTTCTTATTTATAGCAATTTAAAGAATCCCCAAATTTAACATGAACGTTGGAATAAACTATCCAGGCTGAAGTTGCTTTTAAAAAATGCTTGGGCACAAAAATAAATATATAAGTGGTCTCCTTAAAGACTTGAATGAATACGAAAAGATGGTTTGGCAATACTTTTGTGAACAAATATATTCTTTTAAATTTTAGAGAGTTGTGGTAGGAGACTGCTGTGAAATTATTGCTGTTGTTTTTATAGCCTTAGAAAACATTTTTGCCTAAAATTCTTAGGATTGTTTTATTTGAAATTTATTTTTAGGTTCTTTATGAGCACACAGAGAAGAATTTTTATTATTATTAATAATTTACTATTTTTAAGTGCAGTTCTCCTTAGGCTATGAAACCTATATTGAGACACACAAAATACCCTTGGCAGCCAGTGACTTCTGTGGTAATTGTAGACCTCATCTCTAGACATATTCGGGTGTGTTAGATGATAAAGAACAGCATTAAATTTCTAGCAATCAAAAATAAGTAGAAAAGTTTTAATTTCATATGTGTAC